CAAATTAAGCTAAATGCACCTCTGGCCCAGTATAGCCATTTTCACATTCTTTAAGAGCAAGTAGAATGATCAGAACTTTTGGTCTGACGTTCAGATTAATACAAGACATTTCATCAATATCTGTTTGACTGGCTCACATCTTCAGAGTATGGATCTGCTCACGTATTTGTACCTCTGTTCACCACTTTGTAGAGCCTTCATCGTTCAGGAAAAAAAATGCATTATTTCTAGGGTTTTTTGGGGGGCTTTTTTGGTTTTTTTAAAGGTGCTACTTTCTGCAAGCTTTGCAAAACTATAAGGTGGGTTCTTGGCTAGCATAAGTTGATAGGATTGGTTGAATTTATGCTTTACACCAAGTGATACTAGCAAAGGTCCTTATTCACTTCCATTTGACCACCTTTCTGTTAAAAATCAGTAAGCTTAGTAAAGTATACTCAGCACCTTCTACGTGAACGTGGAACTCGTGCTTTGCTCTCCCCATGGGGTTGCTTGCTGTGCACTGGTATGTTCCTTCATCAGCTGCAGTCACTTGGTCTATCTTCAATATCTTCCCAAAATTTTCTGTTTCTGGTTCATCCTTGGGCAAATTTCCAGTGACCTTGACCCAGCTTAGATGAGGAGTTGGGCTAATAGCAAAGAAAAAGAAAAAAAAAAAGATTTTGAGTTGAATGCTAAGCTGCTGTAATGCTCCACGTTAGCAGAGCTACTTCATGGATATGGTTTGCAAGGTGAGTTTTTCAGAGTCTTTTGAGACTTTTTAAAACACTGGAGCTATACTAAGAGTTATGTTATAGACTACAACTAGTCTATACTGCTTCTCGATTTGCAGGGCCCCTATGAATAGGTTCTTTACAGCCAACACCAGGCCGTGGCATGAGGCTGCATTCCTTGTATGCCTATTGGCATGACCTGCAGCAGCAGTTTTATCCTACTCCAAAAGGGCACTTGAGGACAGACAAGGAGGTAAAGACTTCATCACAGTGACTTCAGTCGGTGCCCTGCCTGGTTAGAAAGGTGGCCAGCCGTTGGAGATGGCTGAGAATGCTCCTTACGTTTTCAGAAAGCAAATGGCAGTGACACAGAAATTCGGGACAGACTGCTGTCTACACATTCCCAGCTGGGTTTCGTGACCCCGACACCATGCACAACACACATACACAGTGTCATATCTGCTTACTCTTGTGTCCATCTGTTTTTGTGGCAAAATGCCCGGGCACAAGCTACTCAAAGCCCTAGGTACCAAGAAATTATGGTTTTCCATGAGCAGAGAGCACAACCATGCAAATATCCTATTATTTCCTGCAAGAGTCCTTGTCCTGCTCTTGTACTAAAGTCAGGCACTGTGTTGCCGTGGTGTTGTATTGAGGCAATGCCCTCTGACACTGTCATTACTCAGATTATAAATCTTCAAAAATGACAGATTGGAAATGCCCTTAATTCCTTATTTTGCAGCTGACTGCCCCTGATCTTAGTTACTTGAAATCTGGCTCAGTCTACCCGCTTCCGTGGTTTCTGGACATTTGGTGGGATAGATTGGCAGAGATATAGGCAAAGCTGATCTTTTTTTCTGCTGAAAATGGCAATTTTAACAAATAAAAATATAATTTTATTTTCATCTAAATGTTGCAGTTTTGAAGGGTTTCAGTGAAAAACATTTGCTTGGTGATCAAACAAAGAAGTACTTTTCCTTCTTTCAAAAGTGACTGCTTTAAAAAAGCCCTTTTTGTTTGAAAAATTATTTTTAAAAAAATTCTTGGAAAATTTTGAGTGAAACAAAAATACTTTTTTTTGTTTTTACTTTTTTCCAAATAAAGTGTCCTTTTTTGGCTTTCTCTTCTTGTACGTGATATTAATTATGGCACATGAAAATTAATATTTGTGTATTTCCAAGGTGATTTACCTATTAAGTACCTTGAAAACACTATAAACTCATAGTTGTGGACTTGTGGAGGTTTGTGGGCTTGCAAATTAGGTTGATGGGTAGTGAATTAGACAAGGAAGTGTTGCAACAGGGAACTAAAACTCACTGCAGATACTTGGAGTGAATCCAATAGAGACATGTAACTCGCCTTCTCTCAGAAATGGCAACCAACTGCAGAAACATAATCTTGCCAGCTCAAATGAGCGATGCCCTTTCAAGCCCACATGGAAAAACAAAATACCCTAAACATGTTTGTTCAGGCAGAGAAATATCCTGATCTTGGAATTTCATAGAGGGGATATAATTGCACAGCCTTTGATATGAATTATCTATTTCTTTGCTAACCACAGTCTGCATTCATAGACCCACAGCTCTACCATAAAGCATGAGAAGATGATGATTTAAGTCTCCATTCAAGAAAAAGCTCTATCACAAATAAACCAGAAGCGACTGTGCTTTCATGGTAAGTTTAGTGGTTGGAGAGATTTTCGCTTTACCTATTTCTCTGGTGGCAGCTCCGCTGCAGCAGACTATAGCATCGAGAAGCACACAGTAAAAATTGGAAAACTGGACTGAGGGCAAAGTGGAGCTTATGTCTGTCTGAGTTACTGTGGTAGGAACAAGGTCGGAGAGAGATGTTCACAGCTTCATTGTGAGGACTGCATTTAACATTTATTTAGCCATTCCCTTTCCTTACTCACCCTGATTTTGTCCGGTGTTATTTACAATAAGGAACAAAATTGTCCTGATTTCCTATCGCATACCATCTACTTTAACCCTTCCCTGTATTTTTACAGCAAGCATCTCCTCATTGAGATATTCTGCCATGCTTGGTACAGCCAGATCCATTAATAGAGCTTAAGTGGTGCTCTAACATAAATGCTTATACCAGTAACAAGCTTGAGATATCCATGCAGCAGAAAGCACCAGAGGCAGGCATAGGAATGGGCCCAAGTAGAAAACATGGGACTGGAACTAAATTTGAAGTTAGCCCATCACTGTTAGTTTTAGCAGGATCAAACCAATATGGCTGATTCCAGTTCACTGCATTTTTACATAGTTGTGGACTTTGTTCCTCGGCATACCGTTGTTTGCAAGAATATCATGGAGGAAACATTCTTCGTATGGAAATTCTGGATGCTGGTGAACAGACTACAGAAAGCATCCGGAACCTCACGCACTCCCAAGCCAGCACCTCCCACTGCAACTGGGCTAGGTGGACCACCAGGTTCACTCAACGGGGCATTTCCTTAATGGATGTCTTATATTACATCACTCAAGAACTTTGCTTTTAAAAAACTGAGACCTGGCACCTGGAAAAATGCTGAATAATTTTTGAGCATTGAACCAAAACTGAATTGGCAAAACCAGGAAAGAAACATTACAGGTTGTGAGCCAAACCACGGAAGCTGAATTCTGATGTTATTTAGTTTCTTAAATTCTCAAAAGTAGTACTACTGAAAAAAATTCCATAATAGTGTTTTTTTTAAAATATAACAGTAAAAAAAAAGATCAGTACTTACCACAGTATGATTTTAATTACTTATTCATAAGCTACAGCAATAACAAATACATGAACGTTGCATGCTGGCTCTGTGCTGCTTTTCAAGGAGCATGCATACTTTAGAAAACCTCTGCACAGAGGTTCAATTTAAAATTGTTTGGGCAGGTAGGTATTTGTAGTTGTACAATTTTTAATATAGCTTTTTCTTTCCTCAATTCTATTTCAAAAGGTGATTAAGTTTGTGCAGTATTGTGCATTACTCACAGCCCTTCAGCAATACATTCGAGTAGCAGGACACCTCCCTTGATGACAGTGACTGATGAGCTACTGCCAGCAGATTCAGGAGGGATCAGCAGTCTGGGTTTTCTTTCTTTGATAAAATTTGCTAAAAAATAAAATAAAATAAAAGTTAGATATGAAACCTTAGAGTCTTTGCTTATCCTTCAATAATGCCACAAACATTATTTCTGTCAGAAGGTTTCAACAGTGATTTGTAAATTTTCTTTTTTATTTATATGGTTTGAGACTAATCCAGGATTCTCTTATTTCTCCAGATAACAGTCAGAAGATGGCTACAGCAATAGCAACAGGCAACAGTACCGCTGAAGCCTCTTTTCCTACAGTTTCACATCCTGCTGTCCAAGCACCGGCCCTTTCCATCATACACCTCAGCCAGTCCTGGTACACTGGTCTTCTCAATTGCTGATCTTCTGGTCAACACCATCTTTCTTAGCACCTTTCTTCTGCACTGACTCTCTGTCATCTTTTAAGTCTTGGATGAAAACCCATCTTTCCTGGCTTGAATATCCCACAGAATTGTCCTTCTTGCTACAATTATTAAATCTACAGTAATGGAGATACAATTTGTAAGGAAGACTGTTAAAATAATAAAACAAGATTGACCTGCATTTGATTTCAACGGACCATTTGTTCCAGCCTGCCAAACAATGGTTTCATGATGAAATATGCGTAGAGTTAAATGGCTATCCGGTTATCGCTATAATAACAATTAGCACAGTAATGAATAAGTCCCCAAATGGTACTAGTTCTTAAAAAATAGTCAGTTACGGATGATTTGGTAGAAGACCACATATATCTCTCTGAACCATTTTCTAATTTTTTTCCTCCCTTTGCTTTGTATCTCTACGAATCTGTGTCGCAAGTGCTCAGAGCTGCAGCAAAACACTTTGGTGCCTGTGGATACGCTCACACGTTTTCCATCTGCCCTCCACCTCCCGCTGCCAGAGGCAGGCAGTCCCCCTTCCCGAGCAGCGACAGGAGTTCAGACATGTCTCCGAGGGAAAAATTGCTTTTTGAGTGCCTGTCACTCCACAAAAGACCCGTTTGTTCTGCTCACAATGCTTAGCCTCTGTGGCTAAGTTGAGGATCGATCAGTGCTTTGAGTTACCCGTCCCGAAACACTTGAGGAGAATAGACTTTCCCACTTCGCAAAAACTTCAGTGCTCACCCAGCAAAACGAGGTCTTTCAGGAGTTTAAAATTGGGTCTCTCAAAAAACAGAGGCTCTCAGAAGTGATTTTTCCAAATAAATCAGAGTCAAGAGCTACGGCAAAAATTGAGATTCTCATTTTTACATAACTTAAATAAAATTATCCGGGTGGAGAATTGCAGGAATAGCCGCTAGCTGCCTTCTGACCTATCTGCATTGCCTGCATAAACCTCAGCAGAATATTTGCCGGATATTGCTCCACACAAAGGGAAGCACAAAATGAGGGAGGATGCAAATCCCCAGGATGAGAAGTGCTTCGCTGTGGTGCTTACCTGTGGTGAGCACCAGGGCAATACACGGCCGAAGTGAACCACCTCCCATCTACCCCGAGGTACAGCTGCAGGTGGGGACAACTACCACAGAGCACCTAAAGCTCTGTAAATCCACACCTTAAGCTCACCCTGGAGTATCGCAGCCCCAGGGTGACCCATTAGACATGAATTCATGGTTTCAAACTGTGGGTTTGAAATGCCAGCATCTTCCTAACTGCCAGAGGGAGATTCAGAGCATCCAGCTCTGGCTCCTGCTCTGAACTGGTAACACGAGAAACCCAGGCCATCAGCCTCCTTACTTACATCACATTATGAAATGTGAATGTTCTCTTCTTGAGTAAGAAAACTACTTCTTTGTTAAAAACCCTTCAGATTTCTGTCAAAAAGTACAAGACGAGCAAATTGTACTCCATGGACCACTTAAATCCACCCTATTGCAATAAAAAGGCTTTTGTGATTTTTTTTTTTTTTTTCACTCTTTCCTTAGCAGCAGCTCACATTTCATCTCAGCTGGTAGATTCTCAGTTTAAAGGCTAAATAACAGATGCAATCAACTCACCCTTAGTAACCGCAGCGTTAGGTGAGCCTGAGTCATTAGCATGCTTAACTGAAATAAATAAAAGTGACAACCAAACACAAACATGCATAGTCGATATAGAATCAAAAGAAACAATAAATCAACCAAAACAAAGCAATGCTCCCCCCAAATTTCTGCCATAAAAGAAAGAAACAAAGAAAAATATAAAGTAACGCAACAGGTGAACAAAGAATTTCTCAAAATACAAAGAAAATCCTTCAAAAATATGCATTATTCTGTAAAATACTTCATGGGCGATATAATCATCATTTCATTCTAGCAATCTAGTACAATAAAAAAAAATCACTAAACCCTAAGTATCCACTAAAAAGACATTTCATAGAATTTATCCAGTCTCTTATTTCTTAATGCCTGCGTATTTTTTTTTTTTAAATACAGTCCCTCAACAAGGACTTGGCACAGAGAGGAGTGGGCAGTCTCAAGCTGAATTTACAAAACCCTTTAAGTACGTGCCTCCCTTTTACACCTGCACCCAGTCTCATGGCTTCGACAGCAAGGCGCGCGCGAAGTCTGTTGCTGGGCCACTGCCAGGGCCATGAGAGGCCCCACAGTCAAGCCCCGTCTCGTTTTTCTGGAATCTGTGGGTGCATGTGTGTGGGACTACACCCATTAGAAAAGCTATGGAGAGCAACGTTTCATTTTGATATTTTTCTCACAATTATTATCTCACGATATGGTTTGAGCAAGCATTAAGATATACAAATCCGCTACTAATCCTTTATCTTTTTATCCCAACAGGAGAACTCTCAGAATCACATATTAAATATTAGGCTTCCATTCATGAAGAAAAATCTTCTTGGCTTTCTGGGCTGCGTCAGCCTGAAAGGTCAGAAGTATTACTGAAACAGAAGGCTGATATTAAGGGCACAGGCAGCCTCAGCGAGTGGCACAAGTGATACCAGAAACTATTACCGTCAAAAGAGATTCAGGCAGAGCAGGATGGGTCTCCAGCTGATAAAAGCAGCCAGTTCCACCGGCTTCTGTCAGGCTTTGCTGATTTAACGTGTGCCCTAGAAGGCTGCATTTTTTTGCTTGGATATTTATATTCTTTCCCCCTGTTTCTAACACCGATACCTGTACACGCCTTGTAATCAGTGGCTTTATGCAGCTTGAATTAGCGGGCTGATAGCGCAGTGGGTAGCTATGCACTGAACATACGCACACGTCTGACAACGGGACAGCAAACCCAGCTCGCCCCAGTGAGACTCAGATGCCGGGGCAGTACCTGAAACCATCTTTTGTATAAGACCCTTGGAGCCTACAGGAATACAGAGATGTTAAAATAAAAAATAAATAAAA